TGCTCCCTAGTACAATCCTTTTGAAGCTCCCACTGTGGTTGTGAAATTCTGTGTAGAACCCTAATAAGTGCAAACAAACAAACAAAAACCCTCAACCTAGTTCATAGTTTTCTTTTTATTATTTTTCCTTCTTATAGTGGTGTGGTCTCCTGACAGGTAACATGCTCTGTCCAATTGATAACTGTTTGGCTGTGTGTGTGTGTTTGTGTGTGTGTGTGTGTGCTGCATGTAGTCATTACAGCAGAGTCTGAGAGCCCTCAAAGTCCACAAAATCAGATAAGATTTTAAGGTACCCAACTGGGTTTGTTGTTAAACGAAGTACAGTAGTATTACCTCCTGACAATAGACTCAGATCTGTCAGTGGGTTTTCCTACTGCCCCGTAGGTTGGACAAGGACAGCCCCTCTAAGGTATGTTTTTATACACAGATACAAACAAGTTACACATCACTCCTGACGTATCACATTATCACCTTCTGACGTACCTACTTACCACTCATTATCTTGTACATGGTGGGTTCAATCAAAATATTTATATCCATCATGTTGTCATTTTAGACTCTGTCTTGAACCTGGGTTAGTATGTTCCTGTTATCTTTGGGGAATGTGTCAGTACCAAGGTGCCTCCTACTGAGGTGTTGTGTTACCACCCCTCCGGAGCATGCTTACAGGCCTTATGTATGAGTGTTTCTGCAATATCAACCCTATTTTTCAAGTTTTGTGAGTAGTGTCTGCCTCTTGCTCAGAGCTTAGTTTTGCTTTCTTTAGCAAAATCTTACCCATTTTTGCATAGGTTTCAATCCTCACACCAGACCTATGATACAAGAGGCTTATATTTTAGGCCCTCATCTTACACTTCTTCCCCCGTTTTTTTTTAATCAGTGGGTTATGGAGCGAACTAAAATCTGACACTGGAACAATCTCCAGGGCACACTAGAAGAATCTGAAGTGTTCCCAAATTTCGCAGCCCTAGATTACTGTAGCCTCAACATAGCTCACAGCAAAAGACTTAGGGTATGTCAACACTGCAGCAGTATTTCGAAATATCTTAATTTGAAATAGTTAATTTGAAATAAGTTATTTTGAAATAACGCGTCTACACTCAAAATGCATTTTTGAAATTGCGTTTTGCTATTTCGAAATAGAACGTCCACACTGATTTGCATTGAAGGCCAGCCAGTTCTGGCAGGGCATCAGGTCAGGAGTGTCTTTGTGTGACTGCTGCCTGAGGCTATCTGAGGCTTGTGCTTAAAGGGACACTTTCACTCCCTCTTCCCCCGGACCAGCCAGTTCTCAGGTTTCCCTGCTTGCTTGAGGGACAGCAAAGCATTTTGTCTCTGTGTGCTCTGGTTGCCCTCACTCGGGACATCATAGCACTGTGCAACATGGAGCCAGAGCTGCCACCTGGGCACTCTGGTGCTTCTCGTGGATGCGTTGCTACCAGCCTGGTTGCACTTTCTGCAGGCTGCCATCTGGGAAGTCCATCGGGGGGCTGTCTGTATCTAGGAGGCCCTGCAGGAGAGCTTCCACCCTGAGAAGCACTAAAGCCTCCCTGGTCTGCCCCGCTGGGGGCTTGTGCCTCCTTCCTCCCTCACATCCTTTCACTTACCCCTCCCCTCCCAGCCTCCCTTCCTGATGTAAAATAAAATATATGTTTTTTCATAAACACAAACTGTCTTTAACACAACTGGGGGGGGGAATGAAATTCTGGTGAGATGGGGGAAAGGAGGCAGGAGAGGGGAAGAGAGAGGGTGGGAGAGGGGAGAGGGAAACCTGGGAGGAGGGAGCTAGAAAAGGGAAGCAAGGGGAAGAAGGGGGAGGGGAAGCTCAGGGCTCAGGGGTGGGGGTCACACCGGACAAACTGTCTCCCAGCACAGCAGATGGAGGGGCCTCCGTGTCCCCGGGGGGATGAGGAAGGGATGGAGGGTGTGGAGGGAGAAGGGGGAGGGGAGAAGGAGTGGGAGGAGGAGCGGTAGCTGGGAAGGCAGCAGGCGCTGGAGCGGCAGGAGGCAGCACGCTCTGCACCAGGGTCTGCAGGTTAGCTGCAAAGCAGCCAGGCGCTGGAGCGGCAGGAGGCAGCACGCTCTGCACCAGGGTCTGCAGGTCTTCTTGTACCCAGTTCTGGAGGGTGCGGTGCAGGGCTCGCAGTGCCTCCAGGTGCTGCTGTTTGTACCCCTGCACTGTTCGGGTGGTCCTGCAGAACCCTTGGGTGCGGGAGCACCCTGTATGTGTAGCTGGTGCAACTGTGGGGAAACAAGAGAAGTGGTCAGTTCTCCTTGGGGACACATTGGGTGAAGCCCAGCCCCCCTCTGCAAGGTGAGGATCACTGTTCCCTGCACCATCAGAAGCTATGTTTGGAATGTCCTGCTATCCCCGGGAGTGGGAGCTGCCCCGAGACAGTACCCATGCCCCTTTGCTGTGTATAGTGTGGCTGAGGTGACGGGGGGCGGGGGGATTGCCTTGCCTCTGCGTAGAGGGGGCTTGTGAAGGGAGGGCATCGTGCAGTGTCCCTCTCCGGGGTCAGGATCACGTCATGTGCCTTCATACATACACTCATGTGGGTAACAGGCCAGGGCCCCTGTGTGGCAGCCAGCCCGGGGCCACATGCCAAGGGTGGCACAGCACATGCACAGGTTGCTGCATGCTCTGTGGTCAGCAAGGCCCACACGCATGGTCCCTGGTGTCCCTTTGCCCCCTCTCCCCCCCCCCAATAAGGGGACAGTGATGGCACTTAGATGTTGTTGCCTCCACGGATGACACTGGTGACGGGTCTGCTGGGACGGCTCAGGGGTTCTGGCTGAGTGGCACATTCCCTCTGGGCTCCTGCGGCTCCTGGCACTCCTCCTCCATGCCCTCGTCAGGGACCTCTGCTCCAGGATCAATGACCCCCGGGGGGCACGGACTGTCTCACACCCAGGATGTGGTCCAAGGCATCAAAGTAGGGGCAGGTGTCTGCCCCTATTTGGGAGCTGCTCCGTGTGGCCCTGGGATATGCCTGCTGCAACTCCTTAATTTTCATGCGCACCTGATGTGGCCTTTGGTGGCCATGCTGGCAGCCATCCGTCGGTAGATGGCCACATTCCTCTGTCTAGTGCAGAGATCATGGAAGTTGGAGGCATCCCCCCAAACCTCAATCAGATCCATTATCTCCGCACTAGACCAGGAAGGTGCCCACATTTTCCGGCCCCTGGCAGGCTCCTGGGAGCTAGGGGACAGACCCTTAATTCGAACTAGTGGGAGGCTAGCCCTTCCCAGGTTCCCCCTGGTGGCCTGGCTCCTGGTGGGGCCACTGGGTCAGGGGCAGCAACTGCTGGCTCTGTGCTGGCAGGGCTGGAGCTGGCACAGGTACTGTAGCCAGAGTCTACCCTTTTAAGGGCTCCAGGGCTGGGGCAGAGAGAAGGAGTTTCCCTGGTTTGGCCCAGAGTGGCCACCAGGGCACACTGGGAAGGGCTGGAGACCCCCTATTTCGATATAAGTGTCTACACAGCACTTATTTCGAAATAGCTATTTCGAATTTGGTGTTATTCCTCATGGAATGAGGTTTACCAAATTCAAAATAAGTGCTCAGCTATTTCAAATTAATTTCGAAATAGCGGTTTGGCTGTGTAGATGCTAGTAAAGTTATTTCAAAATAACAGCTGCTATTTTGAAATAACTTTGCTGTGTAGACATACCCTTAGAGAATAACTGAAGGACAAAATTGCCCTGGCCATGTCTTCTCTTCTGATGCTCACCTCATTCCTTTCATCTGTCCCTGTACTGCCAACTCCTAGGGGATTAGTGCAGATTCTCCACTTCGATCCTTCATGGATGCCCCATTAATCCTAAACAAAGCACAAAGGGGCCATGGACACATCACATCTGGCTCTATGATAGACTTCAGGCAGGAACGAAATATGACATGAGATATAATGTTATAATACTAATGTTCCTTTATACCCAAGCAGGTAGCCAACATTTTTTATCTTGTGGGTCCCTTCCATTAGGAGGAGAGATTGATGATTGAGTTAGGTATTCCTTTGGTGAAATATTACAAAAATACTAACCTATGGGTCTGTTTCCCTGAACATAGTAGCCATCAAGCAGCAGGAGACAATTTCTTTGCTCGTACTTCCAAACCACACTCCAGCCATCATTTTACTCAAAAGTCCTCCCTCTCTGCTTTTTTCAGGGTCATGCTACAAGACCTTCTCTGGATCCTCTTGGTTTTTTGCTGCTTCCTCTATCTCTTTCTGTGGTGTTTCCCCTTCACAGACAGATCCCTGCAGTTAGTAACCTGCCCCTGCATTTGTTGTCAAACCTGTGAGAAAGTCTTTGGGCTGAATGACTCATTTTCTACTCCGGCCTTGAATGTGTCCTGTGTTTTGGGAGGAGGTTCCTATTGTTTCAACTATTGATTCCTAGAAGGAGCTCATTTGCTTTTCACATTTACTCTGAAAGAAGGGCAACTGTCATGACTGCCAGCTTCAGCAAAGTTTCCCTCAATCCCTAGCATAACAGTATTTTTCCTTTCTCTATCCCGCAGTTCTTACTTTGGCAAAACTCCAAAGTCAAAGAGAGTTCCCATTTGAATAAAGATTTCAGCACCAAACCACTTTTAAACTTGAAACAGCTGAGATTGAATGGCATACAATAAAAAGTCACTTCTTTTAGGCTGTGTCTACATTGGCCCCTATTCCGTAATAGGGATGCAAATGTAGCACTTTGGAATAGGCAAATCTGCGGGGGATTTAAATATCTCCCGCGGCATTTGCATTAACATGGCTGCCGCTTTTTTCTGGCTTGTAGATAAGCCGGAGAAAAGCGCCAGTCTGGACGCGATCCTCCGGAAAATAAGCTCTTTTCCGGAGGATCTCTTATTCCTACTTGAAAGTTCCTTTATTCCTTGAAAGTAGGAATAAGAGATCCTCCAGAAAAGAGCTTATTTTCCAGAGGATCGCGTCCAGACTGGCGCTTTTCTCTGGCTTAGCTACAAGCCGGAAAAAAGCGGCAGCCCTGTTAAAGTCAAAGGCCGCCTATTCCAAAGTGCTACATTTGCATCCCTATTACGGAATAGGGGCCAATGTAGACACAGCCTTTATGTTTTTCTCTTAATGCAATGACCAAGTCCCAATTGCTATTCATTAAATCACAGGCTACCATGGTTAATCTACATTAATTTCTTAATCTTTCTAGTACTGCATGTACTTTTATTTATCCATTTCATCATTACCCCCATGATATTTTGCTCCAACTTTTGTTATTATCTTATACAGTTTTCCGTATTTAACTACATTTTTCAATTATTGGCATTTTTGCTTAACAAATCAAAAATCTTTTTCAGAAGATGTCCTCATACCTCATTACTAACTCATGACAATTTAGTATTACCTGGATTTTTTGAAAGTATTTCTTTCAGTATCAAAAGGGGCAACTGCCCCACATGGGGCTCTCAATAGTTGATAGAGGACTAGAGAGGCTGCTCAGGAGGAAGACAATCACAGAAGGGGTTATATGAGCAGTGAGTCAGAACTGGGCAGGACCATTTAAGAAAAGCTGCAGTACAGAGCAATTTCAGTCACTCTCTACAAGTCAAGGAGGATGGAGGACTGGTTGTCTTGCAGGATGGGGGCAACCATCACCCTGGACATAATAATGCTGCAAGCAGAGACCCAGGGAGCTAAGGGAAGCTCCAGGTTGGCTGCAGGGATCTGCAGGATGAGGCTCTGAGGCAAGAGCTAAGAGAGAGCTGCAGCTGTAGGAAGTGGCCCGGTGACATCTACAGGGGAGTTGGAGAGGAATCAGCATGTGGTGCCCATCTATAGGGTCCCTGAGCTGGGTAGAGTACTGGGTAGGCCCAGGTCTCCCGCTGTCCCCACATGCCACTGAGGAAGTAGCTGGACTATAGGGCTATGATATTGTCTCCCAGAAGGGGGGAAACATGGAGTGTGGCACAGCCAGAGGGCTGAGTCATGAAGAGGATGATGAAGTACTGGGAGTGACATGGGTCCCTGGAGCAGAAGATATGGCAATGAGATATCACCAGAAGAGGTGCTTTGGCATCCAGAGCTAATCCCCGGGACAGCCAGTAGGAGGTGCCACAGGGGTGAATCGTACTCTGTCACACAGCCCCAAGCTTGCAAGCAACTACACATGTGCTTAGTTTCAAACATTTGGAACTCCAAAGTATTTCTCACCCTGAAAGTTAGGCATGTGTAAGTGATTACAGAAATGGAGTTTATTTCTCTAATAAGCTTGACAATTCTTCCATTTTTTTTATCACTCTGTTAAAGATGATTGTTTTAGCCATGAAGGAAATTTTCTACAGCTTTTAAAAATATTTATTGTTGTTACTGTAGTTCATAATGTATTTAATGTAATTCACAATACATTTTTCTCTCCTTAAAAATTATTTAAAACACAGGGGGGACTTTTTTAAGGAATTTGTCTTTATTAATAATTTGGCTATGATAGAGCAATTCTGTTGAATTATTTTACACTCCTTAGATTATAAATAAACTCTGGGTTTTCAGTCTCATAATATCACTCCAAGCATAAAATTTATGACACAATGAACTATCTGACTCAGCTGATTTGTTAACTGAAATAACTTCTTCAACAAGAATGTCCTATTACCAGGGGCGGATATAGGGCAGGGCGACTGGGGCGGCCGCCCCGGGCTCCGCGCTTCAAGAAGCCCCGTGCATGCACCGTGGCAAAAGGGGGCCCCGCGAAATTGGGCTGTCCTGGGCCCCGCAAAATGGTCATCTGCCCCTGCCTGTTACCACTAATGGTACCAATGCTATTTTTGGTTTGTTACTGTCCACTTCAGTAGTCTGGCTGCTTCAGTTCTATGTCAGTTTGCTCACTTCTGCTGACCTTTGTTCTTGGCCAAGTCTGTATTCCTTTTCTAGTTGGCTGTTAACTCAATGGTCAGATGGAAAACAAATCATTTTAGGAGTATATATTGGAGGAGATCTTCAGCTGATGTAAATCACTGACCTCAATGGAACTACATTGATCTACATCAATGAAGGATTTGGCCCACAGCATTTAGGATAAGGGCAGATCTCCAGCATATAAATACTGTGATTAAGCAATATGATTCTAAGCTGAATCTCACAAGCTGGTATGTTCCTTTGGGAACAGTAAGCCTAGTAATTTTGTGAATGTTTAGTGGCTACAGGGCTGGACACTGCAGGGAATGCTTTGAGCAGCTGGGGGTTGGTGAATGCCTCATACCACCTGTACTGAAAGGGCAAAGGGACTGGAAGGTAAGTGTTTGTGTTTCTGTAGGATGTTGGTTTCAAGGAGCTGGTCCATTGCAATTACAGAAAAGACAGCCTCGCGCTAAGGGCAAGTGATGGCAAAGCGAATCACTGATAACAGTGGAGTTCAAGAGGAAAAGACATTTTTGCAATGTTGAAGCTATCTGTATTAGTCCAAAGGCTCTGATAATATAAATATTTATATAAAAATAAACCTAAAATTCACCAGAATGTATATAAAACCACCAGGTGACCTTGGATATTCCACATTTTTACCTTCACACAGTCATTCAATACTTTGTTTTATAAAGTACAAAATGTCCTGGTATTCCCCTCGCATGCCATTATGGCCAGTCTCTCCCTTACTCCTTCTATCCATTACCCTCGCTCCTTCTCTCCTGTAACAAGATATTGTGAAAGATAGGAAGGCATTTATATTCAGATTTTAACAGCATAACATTTTTATATATACTGCATGGAAATGTACATGTTTCACACTTTTATACTGGCATGAGGAATTGTATCAGAAAATTGCATTGTTTCCCCAGAAGACTGATAAATATTTAAGCAAGGTACATAGAAAAGCAATGCATGCAGTGAACTGTGTGTTAATCAGATGGTATGCACACATCATGGGAGTGCTGAGAGTGAGGAACAGTAGTAATTTCCAAGCAGACAATGCATTATGAAGGAGAATTGACATTGTGACTTTTGTCTAGATCTTGCACAGCAAATTTATGGCCTGATGATATGAATATGCTAGAGAGAGGGGAGGGAAAGTCATGATTTGTTCTAGGGCTGAGGCCTAGCACCTCTAGTTTGCCAGTTACAATGGAGCCCTGGAACATTTTACAAATTAAGCACTATGTAAGACCACATGAATCCTTATCAGGACACCTATATCAAAGGCCCCTATACTTAAGATGCAAGTGTGGGGAGAATATAAAAGGAGAAGTCAATTAACACTACTTGTAGTACTAGGAGATTGAGAACAGTGTGTCTGGATGTTAATGCAATGTGCCCTGACCCTGGAGCACAAGGAGAAGCAGCTGTAGTTTGCATGGGTGTAAGAAGCACTAGCCATCATCCTTTACTTAGAAAGGAACAGTCATTTGCACATACAAAATGGGAATGGACTACATAGTAAGGAATAGTGCAGAAAGGGATCTGGGATCATAATAGACCAGAATCTAAATATGAGTCAACAGTGCAATGCTGTTCCAAAAAAAGCAAACATCATACTGGGATGTATTGCAAGCAAGATACGATAAGTAATTCTCCCACTTTACCCCATACTTTGAGTTGGCCTCAAATGGAGTATTGTGACCAGTTATGAGAACCAAATTTCAGGACAAACATGGGAAAATTGGAGACAAACCAGAAAAGAACAAAAAAGGATTAAACATGACCTCTGAGGGAAGATTAAACAAAAATTGGGTTTGCTTAGGCTGCAGAAGAAAAGACTGAAAGGAGACATGATAAGACATTTTGGCTGCATCTAGATTGGCATGATTTTCCAGAAATGCTTTTAACGGAAAAGTTTTCCATTAAAAGCATTTTCGGAACAGAGCGTCTAG